ACTTTATATTTTTAATGTTTATATAGAATAAAAGTCCAAATGGATGAAAAATCAACGTCCACTTAAAAGCTTTGTTTATTTTACTGAAAATAAATTATATATTTTGAAAATTTATTTAAGAAAATATTTTTTTATGTTTGAATAGTGATATGTAAACCATTTTGAAATGTTTGATAAATTTTTCTTCAAATATTATCCAAAATCTATTTTTAGGGAATCAAACACGCATTATATTTTTTCTTAATTTTCCATATACATTTTAACAAGTTAATTTTATTTCTATAAAATTATTTTTTTATAAAAATTTGATTATATATTATAATATTTTATTTTTTATAGGTACATCAATTAAAATTTAATATCACTCAATTTTTTTATTATAGATATATGAATAATTTATGTGTTAGACTTTGAGAATTTTAAGATCTAATAAGAAAAAAAATCAACATCTAAATATAATAAATATTAGATTTTAAGAGTTTTTCAAACCTTATATATATATATATATAAGGAGTTAATTTTAGCCTTTGATTTTTCTAAATCTAACAGTTCTAAAAAGGAATAAAACTAAAAGAGTTTTACATTGAGTAATTTGGGATATGATCCTGTATGTAAAATTCTTTTAGTTTTACGCAGATTTAGGATCATTAGATGAGTGAAAATAAATGGCTAAGATTGACTCTTTATTTTTTCCCACTAAATATCTTTACATTTCCTACTTTTAATCACAACATCTATTTTTACCGATCCAACGGTCCTAAATCTATGTAAATCTAAAAAAAATTACATTGTGTAAGAGGATCATATCTCATTTTTTTCAACTCATTGGCTCCCTAATATATCCTCCCTCCAATCAAGCTAGTTGTGATGACTATTGACAAAAAAAAAAAAAGACTAAAAATACAGTGCTATCATGAGTGATTATAATAGTTCTTATAGATTATTAACAATTAATGAACGAGACAGAAGGAAAAAACACAAATTTGAAAGAAAAAGAAAAATAGTCTATTTGTTTTATTGAATGATTCTAAAATTTCTCAAATAGGAGAAATATTTATATCAATTAGTGAATTGAAAATCCAATGAGAAAACGGATTCTAACAATTTCTTAACTAATTTTCTCATAAAAAAATTCCAAATGTAAAAGAAAAAAGGCATGTATATTACAACTGACCACAACTAACTTATATGCACGTTTAATGACATGAACATAAACTGATACACGTACGACACTTCTAGTATCCATAAATAAATACGTGAATATAAACTAAAATCTAATTAAAGATGGTCAAAAGATAAAAAAAAATGATCATTGGAATAACATTCAACTCAACTCGCTGAATCAAAACAGATTACATTATTTTAAGTATAGTTTCAAAAATCATAACTCGATCGATAATACAATTATTTGAAGAACTTGTCGAACCAATCACTCACTTCTTTCATCATCAATGGTGTCATTTGATATCTAGTTTCAAATTATACAATGGACTGTAGAGTTGAAATGAAATAATGATATTATATAAATCATTAAATCATCAAAACTCCAGTGAAATTAAAATCTCATCTTAAATACTAAAGTACGCAAACATATGTATTGATCACATCAATATTTTTATACATATAATATATATATTTGTGAACTCACTAATAATCTTACTCTCTGAACTTGGGATGTACAGGTCAAGGTCAAGTTCAGAGAATAAGATTATGTCTTAGAGGTTGCATAATGAGAGTGTTGTCCTTGTATGTCTTTTCTCCCAGCATGTCACGGTCAGTAATAGCACAAAGGTTCTTATGGAGGAATTACCAACCAACTTTATCATATGTCTTCTGTAAGTCGACTTTTAAAATTGCGACTCCTTTTCTTCCCTGTAAATTTATTAGTGTGTGAACAACTTCTTGTACCGCTAAAATATTTTTTTGTTGAACTTCTATCTGTCAAGAAACTATTCTGGTAGGGACCCTCTATGGTCTTTGATAGAATCTCGTAAGAAATATTAAATAAACTAATCGGGCAGAAAAGGAAAATCTTGTTTGTTGCATTTGCCACTGGAATGAGAAAATGCATCATTCACTTACTGAGATATAGAAATAAATTTTTATTAATTTTAAATGATATTTAAATTTATGATTTTTAAAAGAAAAACTCGTAATTTTAAATTTGAGTTGAGATTTATTTATTTTAACAGGAATATAATTTTGAAATGAAATAAATTTTAGATGATATGATTTAAAAAAAAATCTATTAGTGAACCTGATCAAACACATGATTTTGAAACAAATTAAATCTCAAATCATTTCAAGTTAATGATTGGTTTTAATTAAGTTCTCTTAACTATCAATTCACAAAAGTTGAATTTAAGCAATTATATATAGAAGAAGAAGCTGAAATGCAACACAAAAATACAGTGATCTAATGTAAATTTGTAATATGATATATCAATGTTACATATACTTGCATATTCACAAATAGAAAAATATGTATCTATAAAATTAACACCAAAGCTTTATAGACCGTCCATTTCATTTAAATCAATTAAGCAAATAATAAGCATTTCCTATATATCTGAAAAGAAGATAAAGAGCTCTTAAAGAATACTGAAAACATTTATATGTAATAATATCAATTGTACTTGTAGATTTTGGTAAATTTTATATTATAATTTTATCAAAATTTAAATATAAAATATAACTATTATAATATCTAATTTATCAAAATTTATATAAATTAAATTATTATTGTTATATAAATATATTATGGTATAAATTTAGATTTTTATTCTTATTTTCAAAAGAATATAATGATAACTTCATTCTCATTGTTTATTTTAAAGGGATTTGAAGACTTCTAGATTAGTTTTGTGGAGTTTGAAGCATTTTTCAATGAAATAGTCATTAAATTCGTGTTCAAGGGGTCAAATGAGTGAATTGAAAATTTTGAGGTTCAATGGTTCTCGATGATGATGACCAGCGGTGATCGGTGTTGGCAACCAATGGTGATCGATGATAATGATGAGCGGCGACTTGAAACATAAACTTTAATTAGATTAAAGGGTCAATTTGATATTTTTATCTAAAGTTCAAGGGTTAAAATAATATTTTATCTAAAATTCAAAGATCAAGTTAAAATTTAATCGTTTTTATTAATATGTCACTTCATCATAGTAACATTAGTTAAATGCTTGTAACTAAAATTAATATGTCACTTCATCAAAGTAACATTAGTTAAATGCTTGTAACTAAAATAAGATAAATTGAAAACAAGTGATCAAAACATAATTAAAAAAAATCTATGACAGACATGCTGAAAAGGAAAATTCTACAATATATGTCACACACCGAAATATACCACTAATTTTGTTGGTTAAATTTTTTAAATGGTCATCAAACTATACTAAAATAATCCTTTTGAACATTGAAGTTTTATAAGTTACATAATATCTCATTCAACCCCTCAATTGTATTACAAAATGAATATTGTATCTTTAATTGTCATTGAAGGGATAACATGACATATTAAATTAATAAATAAAAAATCTCATTAAAACCCTCAATTATAAACTAAATTTCATTTTGATATTTTTTAATATTTTGAAATAATATTTTAAAAAATCAAAATTTTTAAATATATATTTATGCACGATTCATGTCAAAATAATAAAAATAGTTTTTTAAAAAATTACAACTTTATAATTAATCTTTTATTTCATAAAATTATAATTTTTTTAGAAAAATATGAATCGGTTAATTCATAAAAAATTATAATTATTCTTTTTATTTAATTATGATTATATTTGAAAATTTATAATTTTTGAGATCCAACAATTTTAGTTATAAAAAATGAAACCATTTTTTTACCAAATGATGTGCTTTAACTTTTATTAAATAGTTATAAATGCAATTTTTAAAATATATTTATAATTTAAAAATAAAATTTGAAAATCGATATATTTAGAAATTAGTTTTTCTAATTTTTTTGAAATTGTTATTAAAAATATTGAAAAAGTATCAAAACAAAATTTTAGTCACATTTGATGGAGGAAATGAGATATTTTTTATTAATTTAATATGCCACACTAGCACTTAAACGATAGTTAAGTGTCAATACTTCTTTTTAACGAAATTTAAAATATAATACTTATTTTATAATATTTTAAAAGTTAAATGACCAAAATATCATTTTACTATAATCTAATGATTATTTATAAATTTATACGGATATGTATCGATGTATGGTGTTCGTCGTAAACTCCTCCTACTGAAAAACCAAAATAAGACACAACAAAAATAAAAGAGACAGTAGTTTCCCTAATTTTAAAAAGGAAAACTACAAAAGGGTCACTTTCATTTCATGTTTCTTCTATTTTGATCATTAAACTTTAATAAAATATATTATGATCACTTATTTTTATCGATTAATCATGAAATGATGACTTGGACATTAACTTACATTAGTATATTTTATAATTTTTAACTATAAATTAAAAAACTATATCTAAAAATTAAAAAAATGAAAAGAAATATTATATTAAATTTTAAAAACAAAATTAATTATATAAATTTTAATATATAATTATTAAAAATATTAATTTTATAATTATGTATAAAAAATGGCTAATAATTTCATACTTCATTAGTTACTCGTACCGTTTAACGTATGTGTGACTTCTGGTTCTAGACTTGCATTCATGTTTTGTAAATTGTTCAAGGAAGACGAATAAGAAAGAAAGAAAGAAAGAAAACACAATGTATATGCACTAGTCGATACAGAATATTTTTCAAGGTGAGTAGGTAGGTATTAATAATTAAAAAAAATTATCTAGAGTAGATACAAATAAAATTTTAGCATGGATATCATAATTAAAATAAAAAAACTATTGTTTTGAATTTTAAAATGGGCACGTACCTATCTAACTTACCCATAGGTCCGTGACTGAGTATATGGGCATCATTCTTCCCCAAATTCAGAAAACACAAGCTTGATTTATGAGAGTTATTGTAAAAACAAGAAAAGCTTGATTTATTGCAAAGGAAAACATTTCAACAAATATACATAATAAACATGAAATTCCAAAGCAGATACACACAGTTTACATAGCACTGAAAAATGAAGTTGGGCATGGAGGCATTGGGATTTCAACCGTCCCTTCCAACATCAACAACACCTTCTTCATCGATGGGCGCAGCGTTGGCTCATCCAGTATACACCATAGCCCTACGCTAACCATCCTTTCAAGTTGTTTCATATCCACTTCTTCTTCTTCCCCTACTATCTTCCATACTTCCCCTGCTTGATAACAGTCGTACACCCATTCTTCAAGCACCGCTTCTTCATCACCAAGGCTCCAGTTCACGCTCCGTCGACAACATATGATCTCCAATAACACAACTCCGAAGCTATAAACGTCTGCTTTCACCGTCACCGGGAGTTTCCTGTGCCACTCCGGTGCAACGTACCCCCTTGTTCCTCTGATCCCAGTGAAGGTCTTGGTTTGGTCTGGCTTTAGCAGCTTGGCCAATCCGAAATCGGATATCTTTGCTTGTCCGTTCTCGTCGATTAGTATGTTCTGTGATTTGATGTCGCAATGGATTATTTGTGTCTCGCATTCTTCGTGAAGATAGAGGAGACCTCGAGCTATGTTGCGAGCAATTTTGACTCTCTCGTTCCAGTCCGGTCGTGTGTCGGGTGTGAAGAGTACGTCCGCGAGTGATCCATTGATCATATAGTCGTATATCAGCAGCCTATTTGCTCCATCATGGCAATAGCCTAGTAGTCGAACTAAGTTCCGGTGATGAGTTCTTCCGATGATTTGCATCTCGTTTTGAAACTCTTGTTCTCCTTGAGTCGATATATTGTCCAATCTCTTCACTGCAACAACCTTGGATCCATCGATCGTCATCGTCCCTTTGTAAACAGTACCGAATGCTCCTTTCCCGATTTCTTCCTGGAAATTATTAGTCATCTGCTCAATTTCTGCAAAACTGAATGAAATAGGAGCAACGTTCTCGCACAATCTCAAGTCACCGTCTGCAGAAAACCTTTTGTATCTGAAAACACGGCTCCTATGAATCAAAGCCACGGAAATTACCAGCACCGTGATCGAGAAGCCAGTCAGTGAAAGACCAATGATAAGAATGTCTCTATGAGTCTCCCCCTTTCTATCTTTAACCACATCATCATCTTCATGTTTTCTTGACTCATTGGATAAAGATATTATACCTACCTTGATCAAAGCCACGTTTGAATCATGGAGATCCCTTCTCCCATATCTCAAAGGAAGCCTTTGCTTGTTGCATTTACCATCCTTGAACATGGCAGCGTCACAGTTGCAGTCCTGGGAACATACCATCTCACATTCTTCTCTGGTTCTCAAAGACAATTCAGAATATCCTGTATATTCCCACACGGTGTTTTCTGCTGCCTGAATGATATATCGGATTCTTCCGTCATTGTTTTTGCAGCTGTCGCTGGACGAATTCCTTTGGCAGCCAGCGGTAAAGTTTCCTTCCATAACCGGAACAAATCCTGGAAGACATCTACAATCAACTTGCTCATCTAGATTAACGCAATAGCCATTAAGTCCACATAGACCCTTGGGTGCACACTTGTCATCTGTACTCGACCATATAACCGATCTATTCCCATTTTGATTAAGTCCATAAGAATAGAGTCGGAAAATGCCATCGGGATCAATTTTCATCAGATAAATTGTTCTATTTGTTTCATACCCTCCTCGAGTTAGACTCCTTATGTTGTAGCCTGTGGAGTTTAGCAAGTACAAAAGGCCATCATTATCGAGATTCAGGGTTACATTATCTCCCCTACCATCTGTACCAGATGAATAATAAGAATAAGGTGCTGTGTCTGGAGTGTCCACGGGGTACTGCACCAAGTTTCCATCGTTCTGCATCTTAAGACGAAATATACCCCTTGACTGATCAGTTTCCGAGAAGCTAGAGAACAACTCCTTTCCGGCGGACAGAACTTGTCTCGGTAGAATGGTAGTGGTTGGATAATCGAAACTCTCCCATATGATGTCATGGTCAGAATTGAAGAGGACGAAGTTGCCGGTGTCATGCATGGCAGCTGCGTCAATTGTCTGAGAAGAATCGCTGACGATGGATTCTTCTCGTCCTTGGGGTGATCGAAGAATGAGCCTTCCATCGGTGGTAAGAACCAAGCTAGTGGTGCTTGGAACGGGAGCATCATCTCGGTTGGCCGTCCAAACCACCGTCTGTTGGGGAACACCGGCAAGAAAAACCCCAACACCAAAGCCATTACCTTGGGGATAAAACCCGAAACCATAAAGACCAGAAGGGGATAGCCATGCTGATCGGCCTGTGGGTGTGAGAGATGAGCCCAGAGTTATGTTGGAGTTCCTTGGTTGAGCTACTACTACGTCCAAATGAAAGGAAACGAAACACAGAAACAGAAATGAAATGGCGTCCATGGTATATGTGTACAGAATAATCAATCGGTTTGTGTATATGGTTTAATGAAAGAATTTTGCATCTACCAATTGTATAGAATGCTGAGTTAAATGATAAAGACAGGAGACAGGAGTGGCTTTGAAAGTTAGTCGTAGACAAGTCGTTCGTGTGGATTTCCAACACCGACCAATTCGCTCCTTCACACGGCTGCAACAACAACAACAACAACAACAACAACAATAATAATAATAATATAAAAATAAATATCTAAATTATATTTAAAGTTAATTTTTTATGTTTAAAGAGTCTTTAGTTAAAAATATAAGTCTAATATTTTTTATTATATTTTTCAGTGTTTATCATTAAAATAAATTATTAAGTGACATTTAAAAAATTAAAAATATTTTTTAAATAATATTTTATTTAAATATATATATATATATATATATATATAAAAGAACATGACATGTGTCAACACTTAAAATATATTTTAAAAATATTAAATATTTATTTTTAATAAAATTTTGACACAAAAAATTAAATTAAATATGAGTATATTTATTAGTGGAGCATAAAGTTATAGAAGCTCACTTAAATAAAATCATATTGTTAAAAGAACCGAGTGATTTGCTGTCTACACAACTTTATGCACCTTCGTCGCAACTTATGTGTTGACCAAGTCAGTGGGCGTGTAGAATTGGTGAATGACTTGGAATGTAGTATCAGTCAACGCGCCAAGATTCGCTGCCATCTCCAATGGCTTAAAATTTTTTGGATTGAATCCTCTAAATTATTTTTAATATTTTGATATTTATTTAATTTAATTACTCTAAATAAATAAAAGAAAATATTTATTCAAATAATTCTCAATCATTTAATATTAAATACTCATATTTTTTATATTTATGATGCTCGAACCTGAGACATTAAAGAATAACAATAATTATTTTATCTCAAATAGTAATTCACAACCATTTCACATTTCATTAACTTTTAAAAATTAATTTAATCTTCGAACTCAACTAAAAAAATAATTTAATTTATATGTCATATCATCAGTCATCATAAATTATCACATTAGAATTAGAATAGTTGGTAAAAAATTCACGGGTAAAAATATCATATTATTTTTTTTAAGTTTAAACGGTTTATTTTTTTAAAAAAAATTGAGTGTTTCATATATCATTAAATTAAAATAAATTAAATAAATTAAGGTAAGAGAATTGTTCTTGTAATAAATTTGTATAATATTTGATTTGAATTATTCAATAAATAAATAATAAATTAAAAATTAAATGTAAAAACTACGTGAAATAACTTCTGCAGTTTTTAACATTTAAAAAGTATATATTATAGAATAAATATTATTTCCTTCAAACAAAAAGTAAATGATGCCCAATTCGCGACTCTTTGTTCTAAATAAAGGAAAGACTTGAATTTCTTCGTACAACGCGTTTCCAATAAAAGTTATTGAAAGCAGAAGTTTTTGTTTTGTATTGTACATAATAATTGGAAAATAAGAAATTCTGAAATCAAAGCCCAAAAATATATATATTTAATGTATGTTATTATTATAAAACATAATATAAATTGAGTGACCAATTATGTTATAAAGTCATAAGATATTAGGAGTGTAATAATAATAAAAGTATATATACAATTAAAGTTGTATTTATAATTTGAGGAATGACAAAATTATAAGTACAAACAATAACTAGTTCTTAAATCAGCTATATAAAAGAGTTATGATATTTAAAAAATAGATCATCTCATATTTTATCTTATGTCATCAGAGAGTTTATACTCAAGAGAACTATTTGATTTGATTTATTGTATCATGTTTTGGTTTTAAAATATGAAGGTTATGTACATGTAACTTAGGATATGCTAGGATTGATCGGCCCAAAGGAAGATTAATAGTTGACATAATCGTATGTAAAACTTTGGTCATAAGCATGTAATAATTATTCAGTTTGACACGTGAGTAATAAATCGACTCAAAGGAAGATTTTTTGCTTAATATTTTCTTATTATTAGTGTTTGGTTATAACACTAGATAACACTTAAGATAAATATTTTGTCTAAAGATGAAATATTAGTAGAGTATTTGATATCTTAAGAAAAAGTTTAAGTATATTCAAATTTATATTATTATTTTGTTGATCTTTTAATTTAATTGAAAGATAAAATTAAGAAAAATTGATTGATTGACAATATTTATATGGTTTAAGTGTATTTATATTGTTTATGCAATATATGTATACATTCAATTTAGATTTTTAATTTTGATTGTTGGTTGTCAAAGTAACATCTTTTGTGTAGACTGATTTATTTAAAATATCAAGATGATTATGTATTTCTTGTGATTTATGTGTTTATTAATTGAACAAAAGAAAAGTTAATATTTGACTGGATTTTAAGCGACACATTTGGTAATAATATATGATAGTTATAAGGTAATTTATATGAGCATTACATTAGTCCAAAAATTAGTCTTTTGTATGATATAGTTTATTATCAATGTTTGATTATTGTAATAAGAGTATCATTGATTATCAGTATTACTATCCAAAGACTTGGTATTAATGTAGCATTTGGTATATTGAAATGAGAATTATCCATTATTTTAAATTTAGTGTTTGCTTATGTTGTAACACTCATCTCACATATACCTTTTCGTACACGAGATACAGATGTCACATCATTTTCCAAAACCGTTCCTCATTTGTAAACCCGTAAAAATTTTATTTTTTTATAAAACATTTTAATTTACTAATAATAAAACATGCATTAAACTTAAATATATGAAAAAAGAGAAATGTTCACACTTCATCATTTTACACAAGGTTAAATAAAATGTTTTTCAGAGCGTTTTTACTAAATCTAATACATGCCAACTAAATACATCAAAAGTAGGCATGATTTTCGTACTGTTACTGACGAGGGCACACTTGATTGGTGATGTCTGACGATCTCCTTACTCCGGTTGTATCAAAACCTACATGTGAAATCAACACACGTTAAGTAATTTCTTAGTGAGGCATACTTAACCATAATCAAACTTATAAACATAAGTATATCATAACAATTCTAACATCAAGTAACTCTTTTTAATTTATTGTAAACCTTATAAATTTGCACCGTTAGTGCTAATACAGTAATTTACCAACTTTCTATTCATGTTCAATTATTAAGATGCGCACGTAGTGTCTATATAGTAGTTCATCAACTCATGATGAATTCCGTGGGTTGCACATATCGTGCTTGTAAAATTATTCATCAACTCATGATGAATTATGTGGATTTGCACACATAATGCATGTACAGTTATTCATCAACTCATGATGAATTCCGTGGATTTGCACACATAGTGCCTGTAGTACACTTAGTACTAATATACCATTGCAACATATGTTTTTAATTATATCTATTTATAATTCTTAATATACATAATAAATGCACTCACCTGGCTTTCCTCGCTATTGTATCCCAAAACGTAAAGCTGATTACTCAAGTATTTTTCCTTTGCCTTTCATTTTGCTTAACTCGGGAGCTTGATTTTGATCTTTGGAGCCGTGGAGGAGAGCACAAAGCCACGAGAAAGAAGAATAAGAAGAAGAGATAACTTGTTGACTTACTTTCCTCTTTTTTCCTTATAAAATCCCTAATAAGGAAATACTTTTAAATTCATTTTCCTTTAAAGGACCAAAATGCCCTCTTCACTAATCTATTATTACAAAATAGTGAAAACCTTATTCCAAATCATTTTCTCATCTTTTGTCAACTATTCAAATAGATCGTCAAATTTTAATTCTTTTTCATATAGTCCCTAATTCAATATTTGGGGCATTACAATTCTCCCCTTAAGAAAATTTGTCCTCGAATATAAAGAAGTACCTGAAACGAAGAGGTGTGGAAACTGCTTTCTTATATCCTCCTCTCTTTCCCAAGTAGCTTCTTCTACATTATGATTCTGCCAAAGCACTTTAACGAACGTAATCCTTTTGTTACGTAATTCCTTGGATTCCTTAGCTAAGATCTGCATTGGTTCCTCCTCATAAGTTAAATTTGGTCGAATATCTATTTCTTCAAGAGTGATAACATGGGGTGGATCGGATTTATACCTCCTAAGTATCGATACGTGAAAAACACTGTGGATCTTGTCCATATCCGGAGGCAAAGCTAATTGATAAACTACGAGTCTTACCCTTTTTAATATCTATTAAGGCCCAATAATTCTCGGACTCAGCTTTCCTTTTCACCTAAATCGTAATAACGTCTTCCAAGGCGATACCTTCAGAAATACTTTATCCCCCACTTGAAATTCGATTTCCTTTCTTTTCAAATCCGCATAAGACTTCTGGCGATCCGAGGCTATTTTTAGATTGTTCTGGATAATTTTCACTTTCTCCTCCATTTCTTTCATCAAATCCGGGCCAACTAGGTCTCAATCTTTTAGGTCAAACCAATTTAATGGTGTTCTACACTTTTTCCCATACAAAGCTTAATACAGGACCATCTTAATAATCGATTGGTAACTAATGTTATACGCAAATTCCGCTAAAGGCAAATACCTTTCCCATGATCACTTAAACTCAATCACACATGCCCTTTGCATATCCTCTAGAATCTGTATAGTTCGCTCTAACTGCCCATCTGTCTGCGGATGAAAAGCTATAGTAAAGTTCAATCGAGTACCTAATGCCTCATATAAAGACTTCCAGAATCTTGAAGTAAACCTTGGGTCTCGATCTGACACTATCGATATCAGTACTCCATGCAATCTAACTATCTCTTTCATATACAACTCCGTAAACTTATCCATCGAGTAATCTACTGGAACAGGGATAAATCGTCTAGGTCAACATGTCCACTATTACCCATATAGAGTCCTTTTTACTCTGTGACAAAGGTAACCTCGAAAAATATCCATTGTAACTCATTCCCACTTCCACTCGGGAATGGATATTGGTTGTAGTAATCCGAAAGGCACTTGATGTTCATCTTTCACTTGCTGACATGTCAAACATTTTGCAAAAAACTCTGTTACAACTCTTTTTAT